TTTGTGAAACTATGGTAATGTCAATTCTTAATTATGGGCTCTTGGTATTTTATCCTTGCTTAGATCAAGTTACGAAATTAAGGTTGCAAAAAATTCAAAATAATTGTTGCAGATTTGTCTTTGGCATAAGAAAATATGATCGTGTATCATGCAAAATAAAAGAACTTCAATGGTTAACCATAGATAATTTATACAAATATCACCTCGCCTCATTGATATATCGAATTATTTCGTCGTCAAATCCTATTTATTTAAGGAACAAATTAGTATTTCGTGGAGATGCTCATAATCTGGATTTGAGATATCCTCATAGTCTTATGCTGCCTAGGTATAGACTAGCTATTTTCCAGCGATCGTTTACTTATAATGCTGTTTTAGTGTTTAATAGTTTACCAATAAATTTAAGAGGTAAATCTCTTGATTTCATGAAGCGGCATTATAAGAAATTTTTACTTCAATCGCAGTAACGTTATTATTATTATTATATAGTATATTGTTGTCGTTATTGTTACTATTAGATATTTTTGTTTTTGTTTATCTTTTATATCATATCATATATCACACAACATCACAAATTATTTTTTAAATTATTTTTTTTCTTTTTTTAATTATTTTTTTTTATATAATATTTTTCTAGTAGCCACATGACTATTTTTTCACTTCCAACTTTTTTCATTTTCAAATTATTTTAAACTAATTTTGTAAACTTGAGGTTAAGTGGAGTAGCTCTAGCTAGACTTCGCCTCATGTACCTAGTGTTTGTAAAATTTTACAGACTAAATAAAGGCAGTTTATTATTATTATTATTATAATATAGCAAAAAAGTAGCAGAAACAGTGAGATTTTGTGAGACCAGCAGATGTAAAGATGAAAAGTGGTCTCAGCTCAGTCACTCGACACTGAGGAGTAGGCATATTGAGACCTCAGTGCCGAGAGACAGTTCTTGTATTTATAATACAGAACACGATACTGGTACGTCTTGAGTGAGGGGAGTAGGCAGATTGAGACCCCGAACTCGAACCGAACCGTATCCCTCTTGATAATGGCTCCAAAATGGGAGCCGAAACGTTTGCTCGATGTTTTCATCAAGAAAAACCAATCCCAAGGTTTCCATTACTCTGTTTATCGAAAGACTTTGCAGATTATTTTTTATTTGTTTTATGTTCATTTTTACTTCTTCCAATGATAAATTTAGTAGTTGTTCCTTTGTATTTGTTGTTCTTTTTCCATGAATTTTGTTCGCTTTTCTGTCAGAAGTTCTTGGTAGTAATCATAAAACAAGACGACTACTAGAAACAACAGAGATGAAAATACTCCGACGAATACCATTGAAAATTCTGTTGGATAGGGAGAGAAGCGAAAACATTGGAAGAGTATGCAATACAGACGACATAAATGGATGGGCGACAAAACGGAAACAGGAGTGGAACGAACACGTTCGTAGAATGGCAGAGGATAGGATAGGACGAATAGCACGAGATAATTAACCAAACGGTTACTACCAAATGATAGTGCGTCAATTTAAACAATTTAGTAGGCTAATATTGAAGAAGGAATAAAAAATGCTACCTCTCCGAATCTCTTGTCCAGTCGATGTAGATGTTGCAATTGCAATAACCAATAAAAATCCCAAAGAAAATAAATAAACACTGTAGTATTTCTGCTGATATACATTGCTGAGTCACTTGGAACAATGCTAACTCTTGAATATGACTCCACAACGGTAATCGAATGCTCAACAACCAAAATTGATGTAGTTGATTCAAGGATTTGGATAAGAAGACGTTTTTCAATCTAAAACCTTTTAGAGGATACGCTAACAAAAAAATAAGTAGAATCCATCGTTTCGAACACCTAAATCCGTTTTTGTAAAAAGCGTAAAAGTTACATTGTGAAAAATATAGACAAATACTGTAGTATTTCTGCTGATATGTACTGTGGTGTCAGTCAGAGCAAGTTTGAAGGTTAGAAGATGACTCTGCAGAGTTAGTCGAATGCCCTACGCGACTCAAATCGATGTTGTTAGTTACAGGACGAGAGTAAGAAGAAAAATAATATAATAGCAAGATAAAATTAATTTTCTACGTGCACAATTAGTCCTAAATTCTACTGCCAAGGTATGAACTCTGACAACACGGCAAACGTGACGTGCAACGATATTTTATCGGCGTTTACCGTAAGTCGTCTCACCAATAAGATGGAAAACCAAAATGTACTATAATAAAATACTTTGTATATGCAGAACGTTCTCATAAATACTAAATATATTAATGTGGGACTGTTTCAGATTTAATTTTTATGAAAAACGTCCGACACGCCTAGCTATTGTTACGCACAAGGTCTAAAATTACGAATAGGAACAAACAATCTCTTATTCTGCATTATTATCACTGTAAAAAAACTTTTTTTTTACTTACACGAGACTGAACTTTATAATTCTCCGTTCGAGATGAAATCTCGACCATCTTTGTTATTATAACACAAATAATATCATTTGTTTTCTTGATAAAAAAAATCCAGTATCAAATTTGATCTATTTGACATATATATATATGAGACTTTGGTCAGAAATATGAAGAAATACAACAATTTTTATACGTTTTATAGAATCTTCTGTGTTTTAGCTTCCTTCATCGTGGTTTTTGTCGCTTAAAACATGTTTTTATATACCATTTTTCTGTCTGAATCTGTCACATGCATTTTCAAAATCATCAATTAACAGATTTGAAGATTTAATATATATGAAAACAACACGAAATTTATTTGCCTAATGTAGATCTTGTTTTCGCAATTTTCATGTTTTGTTTTAATTTTTCCAATATACAAAGTCATTTTATAAAAACTCCACAGGAGCGAGACTCGAAAACAAGTCAAAAACGATTAAAATTTATCTCAATTTCTTATTGTTCGAGGATTTGTTGTATTTGTTCAAAAACTTCCTGAATAATGTCGCAAAATCACTTCTATCTTATCTTATCACAGAGTAAAGATGAGCTTAAAATTTATTAAGAAAAGCAATGAATATTATAAAATAAACTTTCCTAATAATATTTTTTTTTAGGCAGAATTCACAGATCAGTTTGCAGTTAAGTACGGACCTGTTGAAAATATGTTTCCGTAAGACAAAGGCTCAATTTTCAAGGCTTTTTAGAGCTCAATTTTCTTTTAGTTTAATTTTTTAAAACGGCTCAGTAGGTTAGTCCTAATCTGTGGTTTTATAGCCACAATTGAGGAAGCTACGCAGTAAAACAAATCATCCCGGAACTCAAAACGAATCCTATGCGCCATAAATTGTGGATATAAGTGCACAGGTCTGGATCGGCCCTTCTGACAGGTGCAAAAAATAAACTAAAAGAAAATTTGACCTGAAATTAAAGAAAACTGCTAATTTAAGTTTGTATTTCCAATTTTACTGTAGCAATTATAATTTAAAAATATTTTTTATTGCGTGGGAAATAAGTTGCACAATTTTTGATGTATTCTAAATGTTTATAATTTTGTTCTATTAACGATTTTCTTTTTTCAGCTCAGCTGGTGCTTTTTTAGTTTTTATTATTTTTCTTCTAAATCCTTCAAAAATTGTTCTAATTTTGTATTTCCTGTGACAAACGTGTCATGAAAGAACGCTTAACTTTTCCTTAAATGACTTGTTCGATGTTTGCTTTGCCAAATATATTTTGATATAAGTTTCTAATAGTAAACTGTGTAGAAACATATATGGCATCCATTTTTGTTTAAAATTATCTCAGCTACATATTTTATTTGAAACATACACATTCTACGGCAAACATATTCTTGGTAAATCGTTTTTTTTTGCCTTTTTACCCCCCTACGAGGAGTAAGCCCGGTGGTAAAAGTAGTAAATTTTTTTGCATCTTTTTTGAGGTCCCAAAATTAATATTCTCGGCAAAATTCAGCTTGTTCGTATGATTTTTTGAGGTTCAGTAGCATTTTCATCTCCGAGTAACTTAACACATTGTGAATGTAGTACAGTGAATGAAGGTAAAAATCAACTATTACCTCCGATTTCGGTGAACCTCCATCGATTTGCATGAAAATTTGGGATTGAGTATATTACCCTCAACTTCAAAAGTGACATATGCCCAACTTGCGCTCTTTGAATTTTAAGGGTGAAATCCACCCCTTTTGTTAAAAATGGTAAAAATGCAGATTTAAGCATTCCGGCATAAGTAATCTCGATTAATTAAATAAAATAAATATTTTGCAACATTTATAAGCATGATTTATGATTTTAATTATTTTTTCAACCCTTTTAGCAACTATCCCTTAAATCGAAAATCATGAAAAAACAAGTTCATTCATTTTTTATTTAAGTAATGTTTCATAAATTAATCAAATATCAATAGTACTTTCATTGTTAATTTTTCACTGTTCATCAGAGCTCTCTTCACAGACAATTTTTTTATAAAAACTTATAGTTTTTGAGTTATGTATTTATGAAAAACCGCTATAAAACAAATACATTTTTTTCACGAGAAATCAAAATCTTTGATCTTCAATAACTCAAAAAGTATTGATTTATTTTAATAGCTTTGTCAGATAAATTTTGTTTAGATTTGGTCCCTCTATTGATTCCTGGGGTTATTTTTAATAAAATAATTTCTACCCATGAGATTGGGGTGGCATCTACCCCTAAGGTAAAAGCGCAAGTTGACACCATGTCACTTTTGTTTTTTAAGGTATCCTCTAATAACCAATATTCATAAAAATCGATGGAGGTTCAACGAAATCGGAGTGAAAACCTTCAGTGACTGTACTGATGCCCTTTATTTTATCATTTGTAGCTTAATTTGTCACATGCTATCTTAGCCAATCTGATTCGCCATTGTAACTCTACTGTTTATTTTTCCTTAAGTTTTATAAGTTTCAACTTATAAAACACAAACACAAGTTATAAAACTTATAAAAACACAACTTATAAAATTTAGAAACATAAATTCTTTAACAAAATGAGATCTAAATATGTTCAGTCCAGGAACAGCACTTCTTCACTTCCTAGCATTAAACTACCGTCCAATAAAATTTTAAACTCATCTTTGATCTCTAACCCGACACCATCTTAAATTAGATTATAATCTAGACTTGTCACATAAAGCAATTGGTTAAATTATCGAAAAAACGTTCATTTCAAATTGCAATATGTTTCTTTGTTGTTGAAACAACTCAAACTATAATTTATTGATGTAATTGATTCTCCCATTACATCTACCTTATTTATTCTCTCCCAAAGAAACTACCGATAACAGAATGTTGACAGCACGATTTTTTTTTCGTCCATAGAAAAACTATTTCCAATAACACGTCTAAAGTAAAATCTAATTAAAGACCGTTCGGAACGTTAACAACTTACAAAATTGATACAAAAACCTCACCTCAGAGAACCCGATACGTCGTCAAAGGATTAAATTCTTTCATATCGGATACATTCTTGGCCCTGTTGTAGCCCCACAGCCTCATCGCTTCCTCGCAGTTTTCTTCGATGTTTTGCACCTCGGTGTAGTTGAGATCCGCCTTCCAGTGGAAGGGCGTGCTCTTAGAATCTCGAAACGTGCTCGAAACGCCACCAATATTGAACCGCGTATGCGTCGCCAGGAACTTTTCGACATTCCTATGAAAATGGAGACCTAGAAAATCGAACAGGTCTCTGGCGATTTCGTTGGGGTCCAACGACAGGTCTTCGTATCGCAAAACCCTAAAAAATATAACGTATTTCACGTAATTGACATTCTCGATCGATGGATTGTTGAAACTTCAACTAAACTAATTATTTAAACTAATTACTCGGTTACATAAACAATTCACAAACAATTCTATATCAAAATTTTATAATCATTGCAACAAAGTATCCCAAATTAAAAAAAAACATCAATTTTCATTGATTAGAACCGGAGATATTGCGATGGCGTGAAGAGAATCTATTGTTACGATAAATAATGACTCATAGAAGTGTAAACATACTATTACTAATTCTATTCCATTCAAGTATTTTCCAGATCATACACCAGCGTTCCGATCGAGGGTCCCCCTCAGCTAAAAACCAGTCCGGATTACCTTCTAGTCTGTTCGAAGGGGATCGCCGGAATTCTAGTCTAACGGTTGATTAGTATAAATAGAAGTTTTATTGTAAACAGTTTTCAGTCCGAAATAACTATTGTAAATAAATAATACAAATTAAAGTAGTTGTGTTCTAGTTTTTTGTAATAAATGTAAAAATAAATTAGTGTGATATTGGATTAATAAAGACTTTAATAAATTTGTAAGTGTCGAACCTTTTATAATAAATAAAGACGATAAATTAGATAAATAAAAACAGTTCACTATTATAATACCAATATTAAAACCAAAATATTACAAAATAGATCCTGAGTCTTACAGACCAATTGCACTAACATGTACTGCGTGCAAACTATTAGAAATAATGGTCAACCGTCTTCTCCTTTGGCCACTTGAAGATGGAAATATTATTATGCCAGAACAAAGTGATTTCCGATAAAATAGATCAACTCTAGACAACATTATAGACCTAGAAAGCACTGTACAGGAAGTTCTGTCACTTATTCAAAGGTGTATTGCAATATTCTTCGATATTTAAGAGACTTTAATACAGCTTGGCGTCACCGTATCATCAGATTACTGTACGATTTAGAAATAAAAGGGCACTTCCTTGCATTTATAAAAAAACTTCTTACATAAAAGGTATATGCAAGTTCGAGTAAATGGTAACTTGTCGTCAAAAATGCAATTAGAAAATGGAATTCCTCAGGGATCTGTTATGTACGCTGTTTATAATTGCCATAAATGATGTTTTACGAAATCTAAGACTCCCATTTAAAGGCCGATTATATGTTGAAGATCTCGTAATATTTGGCCAAAGCAAAAACTTAACCAACCTTCACAACTTGCACAGAATTTCTTGTTAGATATTGAGAAATATATTGGTCACAGGAAACTGGATTCATCTTTTCAACTCAAAACAGAGGCTCGTGCTCCTGCCTAAGTTCAAGGCAGGAAAATATCGTCCTAGTTGCCTTCTTCCTTGTATCGGAAAGCTGTATGAGAGAATGCTACTTTCGCGTATCGAGGAGGTGATTGTGATGTCTGGAGTCCTGTCTCCGAGACAATATGGATTCTGCCAGGATAAAAGTACAGTGGATGCAGTGACCGATGTGATCCGGGCGGCACGGGGATTGGGGTTGATCATCCTAATTCTCTTTGACGTCCGAAATGCTTTTAATACATTGCAGTGGGGTCACGTAATATGCTCTTTGGAAGCAAGGAACTATCCTGGGTATCTGAGGGATGTGGTCGCTGATTATCTTTCCGAGAGGAAGGTTGTGGTGGAAAATGGTGTGATGGTGGATGTAACAGCTGGGGCCCCGTAGGGCTCCGTCCTGGGTCTGACATATGACGGGGTCTTAAACTGCGAATATACACATATGACGGGGTCCGACCTGGCATATGACGGGGTCTTAAACTGCGAATATGGGAAGGGTGTGACCCCCTTCGCATTCGCAGACGACCTTGCTATGCTGGTGGCGGCACAGGACAGGGAGGGACTCTTGCTTCGGATTACGCGTGCGTATTTCCTAGTTGAGGATTGGATGAGTGAGCATGATCTTTATCTCGCGGAGGATAAGGCGGAGGCTGTAGTACTCAGAGGTTACAGAAAGAGAGAGAGGGTTGAATTTGAGTGCGCGGGAGCGAGAGTGACGCCCAAAAAGTACGTCAAGTATCTGGGAGTTACTCTCCACCAGGGTGGGAGTTAAGGGGAACATTTGAGGGGGGCGACCAGTAGAGCTATTCAGAGAATGGCTGCGCTATGGAGGATAATGCCTAATATCGGTGGTCCCAAATCCGAAAGGAGAAGGGCGCTCCACGGTGTTGTACAGTCTGTCGTTCTCTACGCGGTTCCTGTCTGGAGTGAGGCGGTAGAAATACCAACTTACAAGAGGCTCATGGTACGCGTGGACAGAACTAGTCTGCTGCAGGTAGCATGTGCCTACAGGACTGTGTCAGCTGCCGCTTTGTCTGTTATCACCGGCTATGTTTCTTTACATGTGCTGGCAGGTGAAAGTGCAAGGATTCACAGTCGTATGGGGTGGAACATTGGATAGCGAGAAATGAATAAGATAAGACTGGCCGAGGTCAGTGGTAACAAGAGTGGGAGACAACACGTGATGTGGCGAAGTAGACGAAATCACTAATCCCGAACCTTGGAAGCTGGGTAGACTGTGGGCATAGGCAGCTGGATTATTATCTAACGCAAATGCTCACAGGCCATGGCTGCTTCCACAGCTACCTTTTCAGGTTTAGGAGGGCTCAGTCCGATCAGTGTTTTTACTATGGTTTCTCGGATACTGTGACACATACGATGTTGGAGTGTGGGCATTGGGCAGATGAAAGAGAGAAGTTTGTAAGAGAGTGTAACTACAGAATGTTTAATTCCGTGGGAGAAATGGTGAAGAAAATGATGAGGGATGATTGGTGGTGGACACGGATCCACAAATTTATCAGCGAACTGCTCTCTTCAAAAGAACTAGAGGAGAGGGAACTCGCAACAGAATTCTAAAACAAGCGAGTATCACCTTGGTAGGGTTCGGACTGTCGCAGGGCGAAATAAGAGTAAATGAGAGACAGACGACGCGAGAGAGATGGCAGCCTCGCTAAGACAGGGGGTTGAAAGCCTTTGGTGGTTCGTGTGGGTGTGGATGAATGTGTTGGGGAAAGAATGGGAATCGGGTGATACCAGGGCATCAGGAGAGATGTTTGCCTTAACTGGTCCCTCCATCCTGATGTCTGGTGTGACAGAGGAGAGGTTTTTAGTTGGACGCCTAGGTCTAAATTCCTTGGGCATCTCGTCCTCGCACAACTTTGTTAGGGTATTAGGAACCCAACACTACTTGTGTGAGTCACAAGTATCTGTATGCAGATTTTCCTTGTTCTCTTTAAAGATGTAAAAAAATTTGTTTGGAAGAATTTTTTAAAACACCGATTGAAAGTTTACTTTGCGAAGCTAATGAATTCTTGTTAAATGATAGAAGAGCTTACCTTAGTCTAATGTATGCAACAATAATTAGGAATAAACCAAGAAATCCTGCCTATGGAATTACTTTTACTGATAAATTCTCAAACCTCACAGCAAATCCCCGTTCTGCTAAACCTTCCTAAAATCGAGAAATAAAAAAGGGCTAACTCGAATTCTAAGGATTGGAGGACATTGTATTTTTTTAAATTCGTATGAAAATGCCAACATTTCCAATAAAAAAAAAAGCTTAAAATCACAGTACTTTTATACACCTTTTATAAATAGCGATCTTACATTGTTTATAGGTACTAAATTACGTTAAATCTTTTGGTTTATTGCATTTATCACGCAATTATAAATTTGCTTTTCCTCGTACTATTTTTCAATCATGATCTTGAATAATTTAACCTAAGTAACTCTTCAAAGTCAAATTAAATATTATTAAATGCAGTAAAATACCAAATAGCAGTCAAGGATGACGTCTTTTTATTTTTTCTTTAATATTTTACTACTTAACTTATGGAGAAAAATATTTGCTCAAGATATTATATTACTGTAGTTGAAGGTTTATTTATAATTGCTAGGAACTATTAACAAGATTTTGATAAAAATAATACGCAATGACATTGTAATAGTTGCTGTAAAATCTTTTACGAAGATTTGGAAATGTAGGTGAGGTTAAAGTTAGGTTAAGTGAGGTTAGGTTACTCAACGTCTTGTAGTGCTTGGTAAAATAGGGGAAAGTGGAAGTTCGATTAATGAATCACGATATACCATGGTTCAGAAAAGAAATAAAAGAGAAATGTAAAGAGAAACTAGAGATCTACACGAAGTACAAAACATCAAATACTCCAGAATCTTGAGACACCTATAGAAGAATACAAAGTAAACCAAAACAGTTGGTAAGAAAAACAAAAAATGCAAAAAACACTGGAAACAGTTTACAAAAAGGATGGAAAGCGACTTTTACGGTACACAAAAACAAATATGGAGATTCATAAGAAACCAACGGAAAGAAATGGAAGAATTGGAATGGGAAAGATACCTGACGGAACTGTTTAAAGGAAAATAATAATCAACACAATAACCTACCTGAATTAGGACACGAAATAGAAAATCAGTTTTCAGGAAGTAGAGATGGACTCAAAGACCTCAAAAACTCAAAGTAGAGACCCTTCAAGTTTTCTAAACCTAGTAAATTCTCAGATAGATTTTTTTTTGAAAATTTACTAAACTCGTATAGAAAATATTAATTTAATTAAAATCCTATTGTAGTTAATCAACTCATACTGCTATTATTTACCAAATACATCAAAGATAAACATCTGACAAATAAAATTAACATGTATGCCCGATAAAACTTCTCGAGGGACCCTAACTACACCCTGTTTTGCAGGAATTTCGCTCCCATTTGTTATTATATCTCTCTAATAATAACAGTTTTTATGTTAAACATAGACAAATACAATTTTCATCAATTTTTTACATAATAAAAGAATAGTGAGGTACTATTTTTACCGGTCTCTCAATCAATTTTATATGTTATAGCTAATAATTTTTTTTGGTAAATCGAATCAAATGAAACAAATCCCAAAGAAAAATTCGAATTTCTCATTCATCTTCATCATCTTTGGCTCGACAATCCTCTGTGGATCTTGGCCTGCTAT